GCAGTCTTCCCATTTCAGACAATAAATTATAAGTCTTGACTGGTTAGCTGTAAACAAATATGACAGCAGTAATAAATGAGGGCTAATGACAGGTTTGAAAGTCATAAAAAGCAGCAATAAAAGATAAAAAAAAAATCCTACAAATTACCCTGGACAAGCCTTTAATCCCTCAGCTTCTCCACAGACACCTCATAGTGGCAGTGCAATGGGAAAGATACAGAGAATTATTTTTCCTTCTGAGGAACAATAAAAGTTTAATAAATTCTATTAAACTTGAAATATTCACTCCATCTCACTGTGCTTTGAACTTTATTTGACACACTTATAGTATGTGTTTTTATCACATAACTTACACACTGTTAAATAACACCCTGCCACGTAGACACTATTGTTAGTTAAGACATGTAACATTAGCCAAAATATATTAGGGATGCACTGATATGAAAATTTCAGCCGATATCAATATCCGATATTATTTTTGGCGTTATGGACGATAACTGATATTACCAATATTACACAAACACACAAATTATTTGTACACATATACACACAAATACACGTCTTTTTTTGATATTGTAAAAAAACAACCAGACCATTGACATGGCTCTCTACTTCAGTTATTCCTGGTTGTGCACTAACACTATGATGATCAAAGAGATATCATTCGACCAACCATCTCCCCTCCCAAAACAGAAACAAAAATGGCAACCAGCGGGAAATCAAWATCAGACGTTAATATCGACCCAGTTTTGCTTATCGAACCGATATTGACTGATACGGATGTTAATGCGGATATATCGTGCATCCCTAAATATACGTCTTTGTGTATTTGTAACRTGACAGATTTATTACAGATTTAGGTAAAAGTATTTTGCAAAGCGAACAACACCTGTTGTTAACTCCGGATGCGTTCAGTGTGCAGCGGATGTTTTATATTCTGGCGCTACAACATGTAGGACACACACTGTGCCATGTTGTCTTTTCGGTTTAGTTAAAAAAGTTCCCACACTTTTGACATTTCCTGTCATTTCCTTTTTGTGTTTCGTTTTAGGACTCTTTGTCTACTTCCACAGCACTTAAGCCTGGTTTATGGTTGACGTGTCACACCCGGCGCGAGGGGGCGTGCACSAAAAGTGACGCAATCGCGGCGTCCCCGCCCCTGCGCATTGGCCCTGTGCAGTTTCCCAGCGCGTGGTCGTGCACCTCTGAAATTTTTAAACTCTGCAAAGGCTGCGCGCACCATTCAAACAGCGTGATTGTTCGTCATGCTTTTGCTCTCCCTTTTACAACATTTCACAAGTTATAAAGTGTACTTCCACGTGTCCTTTTGGAGAAACCTACAACAACGTAAGCGCCGAGTATATTCACCTTCGCTGCTGGCGAGGGTGCGCGCACGCACTCCGCGACTACCCAAAGCGCAACTATGTCTGAGACTTTAGCATCCAGTGCAGCCATTAGCTAGCATTGAGCAACATTCAGCAAAAGTGTGCTGAATAGTTAACCAGTGTCTATTTTTAATGATGCTTTGAGGCAGTTAATCTGCCTCAAACATTTTTAGTAATCAAATTACTTAAATTATTCGAGGAATTGTTTCGGCCCTACTGCACGAAACACCCAGGTCTGGAGGCGATCCTGCGACCTTCTTTCTGTGAGGAGACAGCAGGACACACTGCTCCACAGTGCCATCCCTCCCTTCATGAACATTATTATGAAATAGTTTGACTAGATTTAGACATAGCTACAGTGTTTTTGGATTGTCGTAAAAGTCAAAATTATCGTATTTTTTCTGTAAAAGGTCCAGTTTCTTAGTTAAAGCCTTTTCTCTCTCAACTGTGTGCCATTTAGGGTTGGGCATAATCGTATCGTGTGTGATTAATCGTCAGAAAAACATTAATCGATTAATTTTTGGCACTTGCCAATTAATACGATTAATGCCAACAGGTAGAGTCCGCTCGCTGCTCCTCTCAGCTTCAAATATGATGAACATTAAAAACAAAGTTCTGTAATTTATTTATCTATCAACACAAGTTAAAATTTGATGTACAGCCTGAAGTCTGTAATTTTGACACAATTTGGAACAGATTTTTATGAAGAGCAAATCTTTCCCACTAAATTGGTCATGTGACTAAGAGGACATAAGGGTGTCCAGGGACTCCAGGGGATTAATTGTCAAACTAATCGTTATCGGCTAAATACCACAATTAATCGTGACTAATTTTTTTGCCAATATTGCCCAACCCTAGTGCCATTGCGAATAAAACATGGGTTTATGAGATTTGCAGATCATTGCATTCTGTTTTTGTTATATTTTATGTCTCAGTGTTGTTGGAATTGGAGTTGTAGTCTGCTGCATGGATTATCAACCCCTAAATCCGTTATTTATGTTTACACCCTTGTGTTTTGTTTTGTTTTCTCTGTGTTTTGCTTGTGGTCAGATTTTATTCCGTATGCGATGGAGCTTTTGGGCCCTGTAGGTAGGTGATGCTCACTGCTCCGTAATATTTGCTGCCGTATAGAAACACTTTGCTCATGAGCATTCTTGTTCTGACTGACATTAACCGCCCCACCCGCCGTCAGCCCCTCTCCCTTCCTTCTTCCCACTCACTCCTGCTTCCTGTTGCCTGTCGTTGGGGCCTTCATGTTAAGGAAATAAATCCTGCTGTTCTGGGAATCAGCTCTTTTCTTGCTGCCTAATTGACTTATAATCAGGAGGAGAGCATCTCTGTGGTTGTATTCTTGCTGTCTCGAGTCTCTTTGCTCTGCCTCCGTCGTTARCGCTGATATTTCTGATAGTTTCTAGTCTTTTCCGTTTTCCAGTATTAACACACTGTCATTATGAAGCAGAATGGGCTCATAACCTCTCCATTCTAGTGGACTCTATCTCCGATTCTGATCAAGTTATTGTGTTTCTATGAATGTGTTTGTTGAAAGTTCAAACATCATACATTCCTGATGAAAGCAGCCTGTCATGACTTGTTTTATGTAATGAATTTCAATCATTATCATTTCCATCTTGTGAAAATAATGTCTGAATGACGGTTTTTGTGCTGTTGATGAGTTTGTTGCATATTGGTTTGCTCTGTTGCACTTGAATGATTGATATTTTACCAGTCTGTGGCTGTGTTACTATTGGTGTGCTTTAGGTGTAGTACACCCTGTTTAAGGCCCTGTCTACACTACTCTGGATGTTTTTAAAAACAAACATTTTCTGCTGCAAGTTTTTGGTGAGAAAAATAAGAATAAAAGAAAGAACAAATTGGTGAATCTTTGTGGACTCAAAATGATAATGAAGTACATGGCAGCCTTTTTTGTGCACATTAGCTGTGTTTCCATTGACCATGAAAATGTGCAAATTAGAATTTCAAAAATACATTTGCTTAATGGAAACACATTTACTTTTTCCAACAAATGGTTTTGCACTAGGATGAGGTGGTTTTTCGGCTGTATCGAAATTGGTGTATTTTGCAAAACTGTAATGGAAACACTTTTTTCGTATCACGGGAGTCACGTGATCAAGAACGGGCTGTTTCTACCGGTAAAAAAGACGAAGAAGAAGAAGACAACAGGAAGTAGAARTAGTAGTAAAATCACTGAAGTTGTAAAAGAAAGTAGTAAACTCAAAGACTACAATTTCCCAAAAACGGTGCACATGTAGTCGCTCCCACATGTGAGGGGCTTGTCGCTCGAAAGCCTCAATAAGACACCAACGTCTCCTCTGATCTGATGATGAGCGCTAGTGTCGTGGTAGCAACATGCTCTGTGTTTACATCCATTGCCGCCATGTTTATAATGACTTATCGCGAGAACAAACGTATTCACGTGTGACTTTAATAATATTTCTCACTTAATGGAAACACTGCAATTGTGCAACTCTGTTTTTCGACATTAACGGAATAAGTTTTGCGCACATTTGCAATGGAAACACAGCTGCTGACATTTTGTGCCTTAGAAAAAAAAATAACAATGGAGCCGATTGAGTTTTTTTTTCTGCCTGACTTTGTTTTAGAAATGTCACCGATAAACTTAGATTGCGTGCTGAAAGGGTTAATAACTGAAAGTAAACAATGATTAAGAAAGAAAAAAAGGGATGAAATTTTTTTTTAGGATTTTTAGCCCAGCAGCATGGCGGCTTAGTGGTTAGCACCGATTCCTCGCAGAATTCCCGGTTTGGATCTGTGGGTTTTCTGGTCAGTTTGCCTGTTCTCCTCATGCTCGCTTCAGTTTTCTCCAGACACTCTGGTTTCCTCCCACAAACTAAAAACATGTACAAGACCTCCCTTGCAAAAGAGATCAATGGCATTTGCCTGGTTAAAGAAAGAAAGGTTAATAACATGAAAAATAGAACCAAGTGTCTTAGCTTCATTCAATTTGAAAATGAATGCCTTATGGATGCTGCCATGTATTGTTATTCTTATAATAGTATTKTTCTAATATTAAATATCAAAAACAGATTTTAAATGTAAAAATTGATAATTAAAGGTATGCCAGAAAGACAGGAACTATGGGGTGCAGATCATCAGATTTATCACAATACAATAGTTTATTAATTTGTTTGGATGACAATACAATGGTTATGGTTTATGGAGAGTGGGGATGGATAAAGAACCCATATGAACCAGTGCCTCGTAAGTGGGCCCATTGCTTCCCCCAAAAAGACACTGAGCATTATTCAAACCTTTGTGTTCCTGTAGTTTTAATTCTACATGCAAAGTTACATTATTGAATTTCATTCAGTTTAAGTGTAAGTTTTCTTATGTAAAAGCATACAATTTAACTWTTTTTTTACTTTTCAGTATCACTGCAAGACATCTCATACAGAATATTTTCAAAGAAAATTTGTGAATGAAATCTATTGAGTTGGCTTCAGTTTTTATCAATTTGACTTGTTTGTTGATCAGAAATGACTTAAGAAATGTCATGTCGATCTGAGCCTGTAGTCTGGAGTGATGGACTGATGCCTGCTGTCTGACCCAACTGTAGAGCAGAGCCTGGAGTTCAGCCTGACGGAGGAATACTGCCGTAATCACTTCCTGGTGGGTTTGTTGCTCAGAGAGGTGGCCGAGGCCCTGCAGCAGGGCCCTGAAGTCAGACAGCTGGCTGTGGGCGTACTGAAGAACCTGCTCATTAAACACGCCATGGATGATCGCTACACAGCATTCAAGGTAGGGCTGCAACTAACAGTTATTTTAATAATCAATTAATCTGTTGATTATTTTTTCGATTAATCGGCCAAATCATTAAAATGCTTAATTACATGAAAATGAGTAGATATGAATTAAGTTAACTCCTTAAAGATGCAAGTTATTGATAATGAATTAATATGAAGTTGATTTATCTTATAGATTGATTAACAATTAATTAATAAGCAGCCATTTTTTGAAAACTGAGTTTCCTCTTGAATCAAGAGGGTCTTCACATAAAATGAAGGATTTTTTATAATCTCCTGAATTAA